GAACCCGCAGAGCCACACCCCCGGAACCCGCAGAGCCACACCCCCGGAACCCGCAGAGCCCACCCCGGAACCCGCAGAGCCCACCCCGGAACCCGCAGAGCCCACCCCGGAACCCGCACCCCCCGCGCCCGCACGTGACCGCGCGCCGCCAGCCGCCTCCAGTCAACTTCCCCAGCTCGCCCTCTCTCTACTACTCCTCGTCTTCTGCCCCCAAAAACACACACAAAAAAAAGGCAGACAACATGGCACGCGACTCCGGCGCGGCGTTCCCGTCCTCGGCCCGCTTCGTGCCCCCGGGGCCCGGCGCCGCAGCCGCCCCCAGCGCCGAAACGCCCGGGGCCTCCTCCCCCAGGCCCCCGCCAAGCGCCGGGACCGCCACAAACACGGCCCCACGGCCGCCCGGCGCCGCGCCGCCGCCCGCAAAAGCAATCCACGTGGCCAGCGCCAACTCCAGCGCCGCGTACTTGCCCATTGCGGCGCCGGCCGCGCGCACAAAACGCGAGACGGCCGACGAGGTTTTCGCCAAGCTCCAGCGGTTTGTGGTGCGCGCCACGCCGCCCCCCCAGGCCGCCGGCCCGCGGCCGCAGAGCCCGTTGGGCTTGGCGCTCGCGTCCGCGCTTCCCGCGCTTTCTGCGGCCGCGGGCGGGCCGCGGCAGCCGTGCCCCAAGGAGCCCCCAGGGAGCCCCGCAACCGGCGGGGAGGGCGCGGCGCCACGCGCCCACGGGCCGGGCGGCGCGCAGATCCCGAGTTTCGAGCTCGGCGCGCTCGCGCACAAGGACCCCGTGCTGCTCGCGGAGGCGCTCGCGGCGCAGGGCCGGCGCCACGGCGCGGTCAAGATCCGAATGCCTGCCGCGGCGCTCGCCGAACGCGCAGGCCGCCTCGGCCCGGACGCGGTGACGTTCCGGGCCAACCGGCTCGTCAACAACGCGCCGGAGAACGAGTTGCAGCCGCGGCTCCGGTTCTACCACGAGCTCCTCCAGCTCCACACGGCGGGGTCACGTGACGCGGGCGGCCAGGACAGCGGCCGGGCGAGGCTCCCGGCGGTTCTCGCCAAGCTCCCGATGATGGACAAGCGCCCGTTGGACCTCTTTGACTTCTTCCGGCTCGTGCTGCGCAAGGGCGGGTACGCGGCGGTGATCCAGCGCAAGCTCTGGGCGCAGGTGGGCCGCGAGTTGGGCTACAAGGGCAAGATCACCAGCAGCTTGAGCAGCCTGTTGAAGCTGTCGTACGCCAAGCTCTTGTACCCGTTGGAGGTGCGGCTCAAGACCGCGGCGCTCGACTTGACGGGCGACGGTGCCGGGGGGCACGGCCTGGATGCCACTGCGTCGGGCTCTGCCGGAATCGGCAGTGCCGCTCCTCACTCCAGTGCTGCTTCTGGCGCTGCCGCCTCTGGCACTGATATTTGCAGCACTGCCGCTTCCGGCGCTGCGACTTCTAGTAGTGCTGATCCGGGCACTGCTAATTCCGGGGCTCCTCATTCCAGCACCGCCGCTTCTGGCACTGGTTCTTCCAGTACTGCCGCCTCCGGCGCTGCCGATGTTAGCACTGATATTTCCAGTACTACCGCTTCCGGCACTGCCGCCTCTGGCACTGCTATTTCCAGTACTGCCGATTCCGGCACTGCTACTTCTAGTACTGCCGATTTTAGCCCTGATATTACGAGTACTGCCGATTCCGGCACTGCCGCCTCTGGCACTGCCACTGCCACTAGTGCTGATTCGGGCACACACACTACCTCCCCCCAGCACCTGGCACACCCCGTCGAGCCCGCGAAGCGCCGCAAACTCAACAGCCGCGCCCCCCTCGTTCTCGGCCTGGCGGCAGAGTTCCGCCGCTCCGTGCGCCTCAAAGCCGCCAAGGGCTATCTCGTCAACGAGCCGCATCTCGTGGACGTCAAAACCCCGCTCGTCATCTCCGCCCGCGACGCCGCCCTGCCAAAGCCCGACGTCTTGGTCTCGCCCATCGGCGCCCCGGCGCAGATCAACAACTACCTCAAGTGGCTCGCCTGCTTCCTGCCCGTGATGCAGGACGCCTCCAGGCTCGAGCTCAGCAGCAAGATGGCCACCACGTACTCGTTGCGCCAGTTCATCGAGCGCGACGCCTTGTTCCAGGACTTCTTGCTCCGCAAGTACGGCCCCGCTTTGGCCGGCCCGCCCGGGGCCGCCAAGCCGGGCGCGAAGCCCCTCGTGCTGCCCTGCGCTTTGGAGGCTGTGTTCTGGCAGTACTTGGCCGACAGCCCGCCGGAGTTCCGCCGCCTCGAAAATTGCCCGAAGCTCCCGGGCCATCTCGCGGAGGGCGGCGTCAACTACATGGGCGCCGACTTCGCCAGCCACAAGGCGCAGGTCTACGCGGGCTCTAATGTTCTGGCAGCTTGCGGAAGTGCAGCTGATGCGCCCAGCGACACATACGACAAAAGCGTGAGTTTGCAAGGCTTGAGCAGAGACTACTTCGCCCACACCTCCAGGGCCATGGCAAGCACCTTGAGCCCGTTTGAGACCGCCAACATCCCGTTCTTGCCCGACTCGCTTTTGGGTGCTCTCTCGGCCCTGGACTTGGCCAGCTCCGATCTCGTCAACCCGAGCTTGAACATCGGCATGACGTTCAGCACCGAAAACTGGCGCTGCGAGGACCATTTCACCCAGCTTTCCAGCTTCCACTTTTTCGGGAAAAGCAAGCGCTGGTACTTCATCCCAGAGCTGGAGTTCGACAAGTTCGAGCTGTTGCTCGCGGAAACAGTCGCTTCACAAAACAAGGAAAATCCCCGTGTAAATAAGAATTACAGCACCAGCTGCTGGAACGTGGATTCGCTCTCAGAGTTAGTCACCGCGGACGACGACGCCACGAACACCCAGTATGAGTTTTTATACAATTCGCTCGAAAACATCGTGAGCCCGTATCCGGAGACAAGGATGCCCCACCACGATCCCGTGTTCGAAAGGCTTATTGCGCTCAAGCGAAAGACGCTATTCTTGAACCAGGAATATTTGATCACGCCTGACATGCTCGAGGAACGGGGGATCAGATACACCACTACCTTACAGCAGCCGGGAGAGTTGATCTACAAATATCCAAAGACTTACTCTGCCACCATCTCTCTCGGGTTCAATGTGAGTGAAGAAATCAACTTCGCATCCAAGCTCTGGCTCGATTACAGTCTAGAGGGCGAGAAGTGGTTACAAAAACAAGGTATACTTCCCAGCATGCTGACTTTTAAACTTCTCATCAACTTTGCACAGATATTGGAGTCTGCCAACGGAAACAACCACCACTTCAGCCCAGGGGTGCACTCCAAGGTCCTGGAGAAATTCGCTGAGATGCTCGATACAGAGTTGGCATTGAGAAATTCAGTCCGCCAAGCCGTCAAAATAAAAGAGGTCACGATCGAGGAAAGAAACATGCCAGAGGCTGACGTGGTTACGGACGACGACTTTCTGAGCGCTGTGCCCTCCAAAATCGTGATCCACTCGAAGGGATCTTCGCTGTCTTTTGCAATATCACTCGCAACGTTTACTGAGTACCTCGCAGATGAAGGGTCCCTCAGAATATCCGAGAATTTAACATTTGCCGAGTTGTTGAAACACCCAAAGTACCAATTTGAGCTCCAGATCTTTTATTCGGACGAGAGATTGAGATCGCTCCACAGGTCGTTGAAAGGGTTTTCAGTGGATTTTGAATCATGGATGGCAAAGTATGACGAGATGATGGATTCGGAAGACGACATGGTTTTGAAAAACTACAAGGCTTTGCTTCATGATGGCCAAAAAATCTATTCTGCTCTTTCTGGAGCAGGTAATGCTTTTGAAACTTTCTGCCTGGGAAAATCCACCAACCCTGAAATCCAAACCCAAATTAAGAGGATTGAAGTCTTCAAGAAACAAATTGAAAACCTCCGAGACTTTGTGGAAGAATCCTCTGCGTTTGTAGAACAATGCCAAGCCATCTTGTCACTTAAGCATCAGCAAAGAATTAGAAACGGGGAAACAGAAAGTGTTGATCCTTGCGAAGACGAAAATCCCGAGAGCTTACAGTTGCTCGTGGAACTAACCAATAAGATTCCTTACCTCAACTTCCATGCGCCAGAGTTTGAGCTTATTTTGGAATACAAAAATGAAATCCAGAATTTTGACAAAGCATGTCGCTCGCTTATTGAGCTGGGAAGTGCTGCCATTTCCGAAATGAATGACATGATAAATCTCGGGACTTCTTTTGGGATACAGATTCCATCTTTGAAGTTTCTTATCCGCTTGAAGAGGCGTTTGCAATGGATAGACACACACAAGGTCATCATATCAGGTGGTGACCCTTTCAGTGGGAAGAAAGATATATTTTCACTTCCCGACTTAGAAAGATTCCGTGACCTGGGGATGAAAGTTCTATCGAGCAAGGAAGTGCACAATTTGAAAATGATCGACCAGTACTTGAAGGACGGCCGAGAGTATGATGACTCTATAAAGACATACCTCTCCCAGAACAAGCGTCTTAATGATGTGGATATTGCTGTTTTGGAATCCAAGCTTGTTGAGATGGAAGAAAAGTCCAAGTGGAATGGAAAAGACCGACTTTTTGTTGAGCTATCTACCTACCAAAAATTGGTGGAATTAAAGGCGGAGGAAAAATATGTAATCTTTCTCAGGGAATTTTCTTTCAAGATTCACAGCCTATATGACACTCGTCAGACTTTGCTGGAGCTTGTCAATTGTCCATTTGACTATGATGATAGCCACGTGAAAGTGAAAGTGGATCAATGTGAGGAATGGTTGAAAAAAGCGGGAAAGCTATTCGCGCCGATCAAGATTCTCCAACGACATGCCCGTGCTCACACTGCTTTGAAGAATGTCTGCAACGCCGCTTTAGCTGAAAAGATTAAGCTTCTTTCGGAAAAAACTCAGACTGCTTTAAGCGATGAGAATACTGATGTTTTCAAGAATTCCTCTCCTTACTTGTATGTCTATGATATACAAGACGATCTGGAAGAACAAGGCCCAATTCGATATTGTTTATGCAGAGACTATGAGGAGGGTACGATGATTGAGTGTGACGTTTGTCATGAGTGGTTTCACGTAACATGTGTAAAACGCATCAGTGAGATCGGGAATGAGGACGATAGGTACATTTGCCCATGTTGCCTGCTGCTTGCCTTATATCAAACCACATCCAAGCAATCGGAATTTCCAGATAAACTTGATGAGCTGATCATATTTGCACTACTTAAAGAGGGCGAGGCTTTACAGGTCCAACCAATGACGGAGCTCAATCTCTTGAGGGAGTTGTGGGCAGTTGTTGAGGAGGCTCGAGACTTGCTCTCGCGTCCCGCTACGAGAGTCAAAATTGTGAATCATGGCTCGTTGTATCTCATATTCTTGCTTCGGAAATTCATTGGTTCGCCGATAGTCATGAACTCAATAATTGAGCACCTCATGAACTTGCTAAGGTATACAGATTTGACACGCGGTTTCGAACGGAAAGAAAAGTCAAAACCTGAGCAAGACGGTTCTGCGGGAGATGCTACGTCTCTTGTGCAATCAGGTGAATTGTTTGGAGATGAAAGCCAGATAAAAGACGCACATTCAAACAATGAGACATCCAACAAAAGTGTCGAGAGTTCAGAGCGTGATGGTGTTCAGACAACAGAAGGACCGCTGATGCAACCGAAATCAGAAAGTGGCTCTCCGAGGTACGTGTCAGAGCATATCACAAAAAACATACCGGAGAGTGGCGTGACCGGAAATCAAAATGAGCTCAATGTATCGCCCGCTGTGGCTAATTTCAATCCTGGTACCCAATCCACAGCAGCGCAAAATGAGCAAATCGATGCAGTTTCTAGTAGCCACCATGTGCCTTTGACCGATACGCAGTTGGATCCAAGTCCGGATATTAAGACGGAGGAGACCGAAAATGATTACACAGAAGAACACGCAGGCTCATATAAAACACCAGTTCTGTCAGACACAGCTGATTTAAACGGCACTGGAACTATCCCTGCGAAGATAGGACCTGAATCCTCAAATTCACTTCCAGCTCGGGAACAAGACGCGCATGCCGGCGTGAGTGGACAAGTGGAGGATTCATCAAAAGGGTGAACAATTCAACAGGTTGCGCGTGTTTGAGTTTGCGCGTGCTTGGGTCGAGATAAGGCAGTGGCACCTGGTGGTCAGAAAAAAGAAAAAAAAAAAGGGAATAACGGGACAGGAAAAATTCCTGTTACAGATCACGCATAGCATAAAAGGAAAATAAAATTTAGTAGTTCTTGATCAAATCCAGGCTGATGCACGTATATATGAAACTTCATCAAAAGACGCGCATCCCGAGAGACGCGTTTACGGATGCAGGTCATACAGACAAAGTAGAGTCCGGGATTTGATGCACAAACTTGAGTGACTTCGAAGAACCAACTTAAGACGTCTTGCTCCGGTGTTTTCCAGGCTTGTCTTTGATAAAATGCGGTACTCGACAGAGCTGAGAGAGTCCCCTGCACGCAAGGCCATAGAGCTATGTTGGAGCAGGTGTCTGCCGAAAACGAGGCATAAGTATCTCCAAAGTACTGAAATCTTAGGATTGGTGAGAGAACTTGAGAGTTTCCTCGGAATCCGGGAGCTTTTGAAGCCCGAAGAAGAACAGTTGCTCCGCACAACACTAAAACTGAAACCACAGCTTCGACTTTTCAAAAGTGAGTGTCTGAGCTTCATTCTTGGTCTTGCACATTTCCGCACATTGGAGGAATTTTTCGAAACACGCTTCCGTATCACACCGGAGAGACTAGCCAGTTTAGTGGAGTCTTCCCTGAGAGAAGATCCAAAAAGCACTTCTGCTGCCGATAGACTTGGGCCGACTGGGCGAAGTTCTGCATGGTTTCCCGATGTTCCATCTCAAGACACGGGCGTATATGACCGATACATTCCAAGAAGCACTCATTTGAACCACCCAGAAAGAGGTGGCCCCGGGGACTTGTATAAAGATTACCAGCGAAACTCACCTGTATCCAAGGAATCTTGGTTTCTGAGGTGGACACGTGGATTTGGGACTAAAGACACTGATAAGGTGCGGTTTGACAGCTCTGTAGATGAGAAACCGAGCCCGCCACAAGAAATAGGCGAAAAGTCGTGGATTTCCCGAGCAGCCGGTTTCGGCAAACTGTGGCTCCTGAGCTTGCGTACAGCAACTGACCTGCAACCGCTACGAGATAACAGAACGAAAGACTACAAGGAGCCCTCCTCCTACTCCGGGTCATTGAGTTATGGAATCACGCCTCAAGAACGCAGATTGCAAGAGTTGAGACTGTCGTTTGCAGATGTCCGCTCACAAGCAAAAAAACTAGAACACGAGTCGAGCCGCGTCGCTGAAAAGTCTTTGGACCAGTCTCTCACTGAGTTGCAGGCAGCTGTGCGAGACCAAGCCCGAATCATCTCACGGCTCGAGCGAGAACGTGGGCGTAGTTTCAAGACCGCAGCGCCGGGCGTGATTTCGCTTTTGTATGTTCCTTGGGATTATTTCACGGGTTTCGTGGCGACGTTTTTGAGGGACCTCATTGAAGAATTGCTCCCCCCAGGCTGCAAAAGGTCAGTGCCCGAGTTTCTTGTACGTGTGCTCAGCATTGTGCTCGGGTTTTTCGTCATCATCAACTTCTTCAAGTTGTTGTATTTCGTCGCAGTGATTGCATTGTACTCTTCTGAAACAGCGCCCTCATATATATTCTATGACGATGAAGTGAGGGAACTGGCGCCTCTTTCGTGGCTACAGGAGTTTCCAACCTTGGAGTATTGGAGTTACCAGCTCAGGGACATGATGGGGTATTAGTCCATAGATCGGGGAGCTAGAGACAAACAGGACAGGCATATATCGTAGTTTGGCAGATTATAACTGTTTCAGTTTGAGATAGGGACGAGAGGGATTGTTATACAAAGCTTCTTGATGTTTCATGAGGGCCCGGGATGTCTCAGCTCCGAAGCAAAAGTTGATGTGCATTCTACAATGAATACTAGACAGGGCGTCTGCATCGAAAAAATAAGACAATAGCGCAAATTACCCAAAACACGGGCGTTTCAAACGTAATGTCAGGCGGAATTCGTAGGAGAAAGAGGACATTTTGGGGCCCGCCACTGAAGGTTGGGAGGAAAGACTCAAGAACTTTCGCCATTCGTGAAACTGCGTTTACACTCGAAGGAACTTCGCCCAGGGTAATGTACAACTTTCGATGTCCTCATACAGAACTACATCCCAAGACCCCAGCTAGATTTAAAGATTCTTTGATTGTCATTATACACGTAAAGGAAAAAGAAGTGGGGAGTTCTATTAGACTATAGACAATGGAACACACGCACACATCCGCAAAAACAAGAGAAGAAGGAAGTAAAGAGAGGTCACATAACTTAGTTCATTTGCTTGACCAAGTTGTTGATGAACTGCTCTCTGTTACCGGTGTCACCACCCTGGATGAAGTGGAAGAACTTTCTCTTTCTGAAACCACCGTTAGGGTTAGACAATCTGAATGGCCACAAGAAGTTGTTGACTTGCTTGAAGTTAGGACCAACAGTGTAGATCTCGTGGATCAAGTCTTCAATGGAGACAATACCGTACTTGCCCAAAGCAGCCTCGATGATCTCGTTGTCAGACAAAGCGACTCTCTGGTTTCTGACCTTACCGTGACCTCTCTTGTAGATCAACTTTCTGACGGTGGCCAAGTTAGGGTAACCGAAAGTGACGTAAGGCTCAGCCAACTTGAGCAACTCAGAGGTGGCCTTGGTGACCTTGACGAAAACACCCGAGTTAATTTGGGTCAATCTCAACAATTGCATGACCTTTCTTGGCTTAGGTGGGATCTTCATGATACCCTTGATTCTGATCACGAAAACCAACTTAGGCTCGGCCTCAACGTAGAAAGAGTTGGTGGCTCTGGCCTGTCTCTTGGCATCGATGACGGCACGCTCAGCATCTCTGTACTCCTGGTTGTAAGCAGCAGTTCTCTCACAGATAGCCTTTCTCTTCTCCTTGTTAGCCTGGAAATGTTAGTATTCTGGTTTGCAAAAATAGGTGCAAATTTTCTCAGTCCCGAAAGATGGTTAACTGAATGACAACATCGCGTGCAAGCTAGTCTCTTCAAAAGAAATATATGGTCTCATCTTCAAAAATTCTCAAGGCAAAAGTTACATACGGCTTTTCTAACGGCCTTGTCGGCGGCACGCTTCTCAACCGTCTTTTGGTCGGTCTTGGTCTTCTTGATCTGAGTCTCTGGTTTCAAGGTACTGCATGTTAGTAACAAAAGCCTGCTGGGGCTTTACTAGACTGCGACAGCAGAGGACGGCGTGGAGGAGTTATGGGTGGTTTGTGACTTTCGTTAGAAAGCCAACAAAAACCTGTCTTGCAATTGGAAAACAGAAGATCACGTTCCTTCGGAATTGCCTCATATTTAACCTTAAAGACAACACACAGGAGAGTTTCCATACAATGACGGAAAGCAAGACAGAGCCAAATCAAAAAGACTGGATGGCTGCGTCCACGTCAAATGTGTTATTTTGCTTTCACAGGATTCCCAGTGTTGCAACTGAGAGCCAAGGAACAGCAATGCAATAACTGAAGCATGAGACGAGTCTGGCACAGAATGAATCCGGATACCAGTGACACTTGTCCCATGCCCCTCGATCTCCCAAGCTTAATCAAAAGCAGAAGGAGACACACCATACCTCAAGCAGATCATGTGTCTAGCAAAAAGTAGTGATGATTTGAAGGCACATACGTAGCCATTTTGGAGAGTAGTGATGATTTTTTCAGAAAATTCGCGAGGGAATGGACGGGCTTAAATACTGCGACATTTTTTTCCCTGTGCGGCGCAGGCCACGCGATGAGGGCACACTATGCACACCATGTAGGTTTCGCAAGGTACAACCCGCTCGTGACGAGGGCTCAAGCCCTAGAGCTATAGCATGTACATTCACTGGGCTCTTCACCTCTGATCTGCCCCTTGGAAGTGATTATGCTACTTTCCGCTCGATTTTGGCTGTAAATGCTTTATTTTTGATATTCGCTGGCCACACACCTTTGTGGTTTTGTGCTGGCGCATTGGCTCTGAATGGGTGCAAATGTAAGTAGCTGGGCCGTAGCGGGAATACTGGTTAGACGTTTCCCTGGAAATTCCGAGCTTTCTGAAATCACAAAGTGCCAAAGATGCAGATTCTTATTCACGTGACCCTGTCTTTCTCTATTTAGGTACTCAGCACTGCTAGGGAAGCCGTGGTCGACCGTATTACCTAGACAATATAGCAAACAGCGAAGATGGAAATGGAAGAGTGGCAAAATCTAAAACATCAATAAAGTTTATTTTCTTTGAAGTTCTTCTGCCTCAAAATTGAAGATGCCCACACCGGCGAGATTTGACTATTTAATGTCCCTGGTAACTAAAGATTTCTCCTCTTGGCGATCCATACCATTGTTGTAGAGGCTTCACTCAGTCCAGCATCGCACAAAGTAGAGAGACAAATCCAAGTGACCAAATATTCCCCTTGAAGTGGCATACCTTCCGACACAATCTCTATCGGTATTGAAGGGGATGCGATGAAACGGAGCCTTCTCGTATTGGTAAAGATCTCAACACGCGTATCCTGTTTATTTTCCGGTTAAGGGGTCTATTTCCGGTTTCCGGCCCCCCAGTACAAGACATGTACTATCGGATTTCGCTGTTTCAAATATCTCAACTGTTTCGATTCGCCCTACCACATCACTACAAATTTCTCCACATACGCTTGAATTGGGTGCATGTATGTTTCGAATGCATGATGCAGACAGTGGTAATTCTAAGCACTGTGGAAAGAGCCTTTTCCTAATCGAGACTTCAAAGGGCACCTGCGAGCACTTCTCACTGCACTTCTCGCCGAAGAGACATCAACGCCATGAGATGAGTCGTTATTTCCCAATCAGTCACTCAAAGGGCCAGTGCTTGTAACATGATTTGAAACACACGGTAGAAGATGAGTATTTAAATGGGATGAAAAAGCCAGTCCTCAGCGGTTTCTCATCAATACAACTCAGAACAATAAACACAATCTCAATGAAACTTTCCATTCCCTTGATTTTCGGTGCCATTACCGTTGCTTCTGCTTCTCCTGCTTCTGAGGCCAACCTGACCATCAACGGTACACTTATTCCCCAAGAAGCTATCATTAGCGGCTTGACAATTCCCGAAGATGTCTACCCCATTTTAAACTACGAGAACAATACTGCAACCGTTGTTTTTTTGAACGGCACTCTTTTGGCAGAGGCGAAGGCCTATAACAGCGAGACTAAGAGGGACGTGGCCTATCCTGATCGCGAAATTACGAAGAGAGACGTCGAACCTCACACTTGGAGTTGGGGCGATGCCGATCACGAGCTTGCCTCAGTCAAGAGAGAAGCGGAAGCAGAGGCAGAAGCCGACCCTTGGCATTGGGTTAGATTGAAGATTGGCCAGCCTTTTTTCAAGAGAGATGCCGAAGGTTCTGCTGACCCTTGGCGTTGGGTTTCATTGACGTTTGCCAAGCCTTTCTTCAAGAGAGATGCCGAAGCTTCTGCCGACCCTTGGCATTGGGTTGCTTTGAAGATTGGCCAGCCCTTCTTCTAAGGTAGTGAGACCTCACTGGATCAATCAACCTTAATCCAAATGATGAAATTTGTGATGCTCATTCCAGTGTTATTGTTGTGAGCAAGTCCCTCAAAGCAGTTGAATTTTATATACGAGGAAAAATTTAGCTTCAATCAAAATTTTCGAGAAGGTGAATCCTCAGTTGGGTGTTAATAGTAGACTTCCTAGAGCGAGCAGTATACTTTGCGAGCGCAGGTGAATGACTACACCATGAAAGAGATAATAAAAGAGCCTCTACAAATCATGTGCTTTCTTTGGCTCTTGATACCACGAAAGTTTGCGTTGCGTAAAGTTTGAAAGTAAACTTCTGCTTCTATGTATACCATTGGTTCTTCATATGAGCGAACTTGATATTTAGTCCATGGCATGAGGTAGCTTGCAAAGGCAAATGAGTCTCATTTTGATGGCCATATTGATACTATAACACTCAGATAGTTACAGACAGTGACACTGATCAAGAAGAACGCAAGTAGGTATACGGCGCTGATCAACATCGGTAGATAGATCATACTATAATCGAGATTTTTAAGGCTTTAAAGGCCAGTGTAGTATACCAGACGAAATTTCATTTAGTGTTTTCAGCCGTCTTGCCTTCATTTGAATCGAGTCCCACTCCTGTTGTCAATCTACTTCTACATGGCTATTTGAGAACCCACTATTTCGCAATCTCACCATAAAAGCTTGCACTTGATGACAAGGTATGAAAACTTAGAGAAAAGGATGGTAATGAAGACAAATTGTAGCTCAAGTGTACATAAATGAAAGGCAGCCACTTCATTTTTCTTCCGAAGGCGGGGTTCAGCGTATAAGCGGAAAGGGGAAGATGATCCGCCAGGAGAGATTGTTAACAAGAATACGCGGGTCTGCATGGCTGATGAGCGGTGCACGAAAGAAGGTGCAATACTAGTTTGAAGTCGATTGTTGCAGAGAAAACAAAATGTTTGGCATCAAAGATGGATATATATCGAAAATTTCAAGTTGTTCATCTTGAAGGTTTAAGAGATCTGATTCTTGATTCCCGATTGAAGAGGGCTGGAAAAGCCCGAAACCTCGTTAGGTTGAACAAGTAAGGCGTTTCGGTCGAAACCTTGCCGCGATTTCCGAAAGAAGAAACTGTTTGAGCTTATCTAAGCTTTGAAGCCCTGGTCCATGGTGTCGCTTTCAAAAGCGCATTCGTTATTGTCGTTTCCAACTCACTGGTTTTTGCTTGTAAAACATTTCTTCTGTTAAAAACATTATAATTAAGGAAACAAAAATCAAATCTAAACCCTCATAATGACTGGAGCCGTTTGAGTCATTGGATCCTGACGACATTCCTCAGTTTTGACATTTAATTTTGAGACGCGTTGAAATCCCTGCATGCGCACACTGTTAATCGTACAGATAAGAGACCAAAGCAACTCCAATCACTAGCGGCTACTTATAAAGCAGACATTCCCAAATACTACAGAATTAAAAGCGATTAGAGATAGTTCATTACCGACCTAGCTTCAGATCACAGGTTTCGGTGTACTCACTCAACCCCAAAGGGCCGCTCGTATTATTCCTTGCGCCTGCTGCAAGATAGCTTCTCTTCCTGCACTCGGGCTTCTCTAAGATCAGTTCTGCATTCGAGTCAACAAAGATGATCCAACCAATTCTTTCCAAGGAACAGATTCTCGAGGCAGTCACATCCAATCCCCAATATTATAACAACATCCAAAATGTGCAGACTCCGCGCATCGACCCGGTCTTCTCTAATGACGATAATGAGCTTTTAGCCCAGATCGGTTATAAGCCCGAATTGAAAAGAAGGTTTTCCACCATTCAGGTATTCGGAGTCGCCTTCTCCATTATGGGCTTGCTCCCATCCATCGCATCTATTTTAGGCACAGCCCTTTTAGCCGGGCCTGCGGGTGCCATTTGGGGCTGGTTGATCTCTTCGCTTTTGATTCTATCCATCGGAATAGCCATGAGTGAAAACGCCAGCTTCCAGCCCACAAGTGGAGGTTTATACTACTGGACCAATTTTTACGCGCCGCCCAGATGGAAAACACTTATATCATTCGTGGTTGGAAATACAAACTCCGTGGCGTTGGTGGGGGCACTATGTTCAGTGGACTATGGGTTTGCAACCGAGGTTTTGTCAGTTGTGGTAATTGCAAAGGACGGTGATTTTGACATCACTCCTGCAAAAACTTACGGCGTGTTTGTGGCATGTGTTTTGGCCCACATTGCACTTACATGCGCCTCGTCAAAGCACTGTGCTTGGCTTCAGACGCTGTCAATCATTGTGAATGTGGGTTTGATTGCTATTTTTGTCATTGCTATGCCGATAGCCGCATCAAGAGGTGAAACCCGGCCTGCCTCTTGGGTATTTGGCAGTTTTGAAACTCTTACAGGATTTCCGATTGGTTGGGTGCAGCTTACTCAAGCGTGGTTGCCGGCCATCTGGACCATTGGTGCATTTGACTCGTGTGTGCACATGTCCGAGGAATGTACCAATGCAACCAAAACCATACCAATTGGAATCATCGGCTCCATTAGTGCATGCTCTATTTTGGGGTTCATTTTGATGATTGTCACGATGTTTTCTTTGCAAACTTACGATATCGAGAACCATATATTAGACTCCAAGTTTGGTCAACCCATGGCGCAAATCATCTATGATGCGTTTGACACGGTTCCAGGCCAAGGGAAGAAAATGGCAATTTTTTTCATGGTGCTTATTGCATTTGCACAGTTCTTGATGGGGGCCTCGATTCTCACTGCTATCTCCAGACAGATTTTTGCCTTTGCTCGAGACAACGGCTTGCCTATGTCATGGTGGATTAAGAAGGTTAACAAAAGACTTTCAGTGCCCATACATGCTGTTATTGCAGGAGGGGTGGCGGCCATTGTTATCGGTCTTTTGTGTCTCATTGGAACCACTGCTGCAAACGCTCTTTTCACGCTATACATTGCGGGCAATTATTTTGCGTGGGGCATGCCCACTTTTTTGCGGCTTTTGGCCATGAAGGAAAAGTTTGTGCCTGGTAAATTCTACTTGGGGGATTTCTGGAGCAGAGTCAACGGGTGGGTATCAACGATTTTTATTGTCTACACGATAGTCATGGTGATGTTCCCCACAGACACAAATCCAGACAAGAACTCTATGAATTACACTTGTGTGATTACTCCTGGAGTGTGGATTCTTTCTATTCTCTACTACTATGTGTATGCCCGCAAGCATTATCATGGTCCTGCCAAAACCGTTGACGATGATTCGGACTCAAGTGACGAGTCCACGCAATACATTGACGGAATCATTGCTGGTGAGAAAGAAGACATTTCTGCTATCAAGAAATAGGACAGAAGTCGCATCCAAATCTAAATATTCCACAAGAGAGAACCGGCTGTCCGAAGAATTTGATTTGTTAGTTTTTTAACCCTATATTTTTGTGTTTTGATTGAAAGACGACAAACGATAACTGTGAGTATTTGTATAAGTAATTGGGCAGTCTATGTGCAAATTGAAAAGATGGAAGGTGTACTCACGTGCATAATAAACCGAGATCTAGAAGCTACACTATGGGGCTTTTACTTCTGAATATACTCTGAGACACATCAAGTATTGATTTAGCCCGTGATTTGTTCGCTCATAGGAATTGTTTAATCTCTTTGTGCTACAGATTTTATGGTAAAATTTCTGGCTTTTTGAGCAAAATTCAATCCCAATGCCGTATTCTTCTTCTATGAGCCGCAGAAATTCGAGCCTGAGGTATTGACGCAGATTTCTAGATATTCAAGTCTAATAAAGCTGGAAAGTATGAGGTAGCATAAGATTTATTCAATCTCAGATATATTCGTTTGATTTCTGTTTTCAGCTTGCAAAATTTGTTAACAGGATTTGATGAGCTGTCGGCGACTCGTACAAAGTTCAGAGCTTTTGGGCTAATTCATTCCGCTATTTGAGCATCCTTAGATTCTCGATTGATGTTTGTTCTCGATTGCTTGATCCTTTTTATTGCTGTGTTATTCTAGTTTTTCAAAATGGATAGCAACCATTTTTGAGTATTATTCTGTGGAAAAGTTTTGAAGCGCTTGACAGGAGTCCATTGTGTGTGTCTCGCCGTGAGAATGTACATATGAAACAAGCCATAGTCTTTGAGCTTGTACTTTGACAAAACCTTCCAGCTTCTCAAGGTTTGGCGTGATGTCCAAAAACATCGTCCTAAGATATTGTTCACAAACAACTCCCGAATATACCAAGAAAACTCGTTGAGCTTTTATGATAAATATCAGCAATGTACCCTTTCACTAATGGCAGTAACTCCTGAAGGAGCCACTTTGTTAGTGAGAAGCTCCAGGAATAAGACAGGCACAATGTCGGTCTGGATCAACGTTTCAAGTCGCGTGTGTGAGTAAGGTAGTTACTGTAAAACTTGGCTTCACTTCAGACATTCAATGTTTATAATCTCGTAGCAGAATTGAGATCTTGAATTTTGTTTCTTCATAAAAATATTCAACTGTAAGGCAAAGCACTAAGGGGACAGTGGAGACAATGGTTTGCAATAGATTTCTTGGAGAACGATGACAGCGGTTATTTCACGATTTAGCCTTTGTCGACATGATTAACCCCAACACTAACAGAGCTGGCTCGGTTTGATACGTCCTTCGTATACTGATGGGGGATGATACCAAAAGGCTTCCTGAAATGATCACCAAAAACGATTTAAATACTAGATACACGTTTTTTATTTTGCATGATGAACTCTATTGATGGAGAGATTACATGAAATTAATGTTGGAAGGATTTTCATTACCTTTTCGATGGCAACACAAGAAAAGAAAGGGAAACCGCTGCTTTTGAAAATGACTCAGGACCACTGGATTACAGCCTTGGTGGAAGGTCTTTGACTTATTGGAAGATACATACACGTGTGTTTAAAAAGGTTGACGAAGTTTTTGAGACAATCCCGCGAATTTTTATAAGTTCGAGCCTGTCATGAAAGTAGATTAATAAAGCCCAGATGTGACTTGACTGACAAGCAGCCGGCCTTGTACCAGTTATCATAAATCATTATTTCCAATTCACTCTTTCAATCCAAAAGCTCGTAAGATTTTGAACTTGTGTTTATTATATTCTCTTGGATGAATTCCTTTGTATAGATGGATTTTTCAATTTGAAATAACGGAAATGATGTTGATTTTGCATTTCATGGGATAGTGTCGGTCATGAATATATCAGACGGGTCAAAAACCAATGATAACCACGGGCAGAAAAATATACTTTGGTACGACAAAGTGACACAAATACAATAGAGTGGAGACTTTTGAGTCATATTAGGAGTGGAACAATAATAAAACTCAAATAATTAGAAGCTAGAAGAAACGGCAAGACACCATCTGATATGCAGCCAGTCAATGAGGAAATGTATATTATACGAGTCTATATTTAGTGTATGAAAAAGCCGCGAACCGTTCCTACTTGCAATACGCTCAATGTAAGAGTTTCAGTAGTTCCAAATCAGCACAGGGGTTTGTGGCCCTAATATTGACCAATCCTCAAAGCAGCAAAGTGACCCACGTGATTTGAAGAGCAGATCACGCACGTAGAGAACTGACACATTTCTGTGTAACACCAACAGAGTGAGCATATAGCAATTTGAGTGGGCGCCGGTCATCGAAAGCAGGATGTGACCCTACTTTTTTAAATTGGCAGCTTTGTAATTGATTTGAGACGGTCATTTTCTATGTTTTTCCGATCTGGTCTTGTAGAACTCACCGACCCGTGATTTTGAGGGGACTTGGCGACTTCCTAATTAGGCATCATCCATATTCAGTATGTTTGGAAATTTGTTTCAGTGATGTAATGAAGACAAGCCACGGGCAGAGAAGCTTATGTCGCGGGATCTTGGAAAGCCTGGTACAGGCTCTGAAATTTTTGTGCTTGAGGAATGAAATATTGGGCTAACCAGAAAGAGCTTGAAAAACTTAGGAAGGGTTGAGAAGGATATGGAACGAGCCTCAGAGAACTCGACAGAATTCAAAAGAAACTTAAAAAGAATTTGGAGAGAACTTAGAAAGAATTCAAAAAGAATCTACGAAGAACTTGGAAGAACTTAGAAATGGCTTGGAAAGGGCTTGGAAAGGGCTTGGAAAGGGCTTGGAAAGGGCTTGGAAAGGGCTTGGAAAGGGCTTGGAAAGGGCTTGGAAAGGGCTTGAAAAGAGCTTGAAAAGAGCTTGAAAAGAACTTGAAAAGAGCTTGAAAAGAACTTGAAAAGAACTTGAAAAGAGCTTGAAAAGAACTTGAAAAGAACTTGAAAAGAACTTGAAGAAAACTTGAAGAAAACTTGAAGAGAACCTGGAAAGAACCTGGAAAGAACCTGGAAAGAACTTGCAAAAAACTTGCAAAAACTTGCAAAAAACCTGAAATACTTGGAAGAACTCGAAATACTTGGGAGGCCCCGATCCATGGACACGCGATCAGCCGGCCTGCTAATGATTTCGCACCCATACAAGATCAAAAACAGGGTGCGAAAAAACGGGGCATGCCCAGACAGACGGGACAACATTAGCACCGCCATATTAGCGCCAGTCACCCGAAAATACCATCAACCAACTACCACAGACACCAACCAAGTACCAAAAACATCAACAAAAAACAGAAAAGTCTACAAAAAAATCTACAAAAAACCAAAAGCATTCACATAAAGCATTAAAAAAACCTTCACAAAAAACACCACCCAAAAAACACCACCCAAAAAACACCACCCAAAAAACACCACCCAAAATACCACCCAAAAACATCAGCCAACTACCATCGTCCAAAAACCATCAACCAAAAACATACCAAAACCATCACAAAAAAAAATAACAGTCATCATCCTCATCCACCAAAAACATCCACACCCACCGAAAACATCATCAAAAACACCCACCATCATCCAAAAACACCCACCAGCATCCACGCCCCAGGCCCACCCCTGAACACGCAGCCGCCGACACGTGCCCCGCGGTCACGTGGCGCGCGCGCCCGCGCAAAAAACAACATGTTCCACCAACTCCCAGCGGCTCCTCAAAACAAGCCCAAACGCCGGACACCAGATCTTCCCTGCCCCCGCGTTGCAGCCCCCCGTGCCCCTCCGGCCCCCTCCTTCCACATCCGCCGCGTCCACAAACGGACAGCTCCGCAGAAAAGCAACCAACGCGCCGCGCGCCAGCCGCTTTCACCCGCCGGCCCCAGAGCCCCCTCCAGCGCTCTTTCATCTCCACAAACACCCCAATGGCGCCCACTTTGATGCCCGTGCAGGGCGTCGCCCGCACCGGCGTGGCCGCCGAAAACTCTCCGGCCGCGTCCCAGGGCGCCAGCGCGTACCTCACGTCGCTGTTGGCGCACGCCGATTTGCACGGCGCAGGCCATCCCGGCATAGCGCCGATGGACCGCATCATCATGGCGCTCAAGTCCGGGCTCGGGCCCGAGACCGAGCACGCGCTCTCCACGTTGACGTTCTACTCGTGCAACGAGCCCAAGCTCGTGGACTTGGCCGCGTGCCCGCTCATTGGCAACGCGCTCATAGGGTTTTTTGCGCGGCCCTACGAGGCCATGGGCCGGGGCGCAAGTGAGGCCGTGAGCAGCGGCACCCCCGAGCACGAGGCCCGCGGCAGCGCCGACGCGCCGTTCCGCCCGGCCGAGCTCCAGGCCAGCGTGGAGGCGTTGCTCTCGCTCCGCAACGCCGCGCAGGACTTGCACAACCAGCAGTGGCTCAGTCGGGCGCCGCAGTTCCGGCAGCACGCGGCAGACGCGCTCCGCTGGCTCAACGCGTGGCTCATCACGCCCGGCACGCCGCGCCTGTACGCGCTCGACAAGGCCAGCGACACGCTCCGCGAGTCCTTGAAGCACCTCTTGGACATCCTTGACCCTTTGACGTGCTTCTACGTGGAGACGCCGCGCAACGATCCGTTGTTCGCGCAGTTGCTTGTGGTGTTGGCCGGCACCAGCGACAAGCACGTGTTGATGGTGGTGTTGAAGTGCTTGCAGCACCTTCTCTTCTTGGGTGGCGCGGGTGGCGTGGCCTCGCGCAACCCGGACCTGCCGGACTGCAACAACTGCATCGACGCCGTGCAGCCCGAGCACCTCCACGTGGCCGTGCGCTGCTTGCTCGTCAAGGACGACGAGTTGAACCACGCGGTCTTGCTGTTTTTGAAGCAGTACTTGGCGCTGGAGGCCTTGCACCCGCTGCACAGGGCCTCCGTGCGCCTGTCCCAGCTCCTCCGCTTGCACACGCTCGTCGACGCGGCCGGCTCCCAGAACTTGCACGTGTTGATGAAGCAGTTGCCCCAGTTGCTCGTCGCCCGCTTGCCGCTCGTGGACCCGCTGCAGGTCCCGCCGCCCCAGCCCTTGCAGCTCAAGAAGCGCTCCGCGTACTGCGGCGTGCCCTCGCTGACGGCAAAGTTGCCGCCTGACCTCTACAGCGTGATCTTGACCTTCCCGGAGCCCTTGCGCGCCACCACCTGGCTTCGCTGCTGCTACGAGCCGCACGGCATCGCGCCCAAGGGCGCCACCGCAGACCTGCCTGCGGGCGAGGTCACCCAGATCTCGCTCTGGAAGTCCTACGAGAACCAGTTCGAGGCCATCTGGAAGGACCGCTTCAACCCCAAGTGGCCCAACTTGCTCCCGGCCGTCGACTTCATCAAGAACGTCAGCCTGGCGTTCCCCAGCTCCGAGGCCATGGTGGTCAGCGTGCCTGCCGCAGACCCGGCCCAGCCACCACGCAAAAAATTCATCATCAAGGGCATCCAGCCCCGCCAGTTCCCGGTGAGCATCGACATCGGCAACTTCGAGGCGTTGCGCAAGAACACTGCGGTGTCCGAGGAGAAGAGCGCCGGCGCCGTGGCCGTGGGTGATGTCGACTCGGACGCGTTCCACGGCCACATGGACGCGCTTGTGGACTCGCTCTTGGCCGCGTCCGACGGCTTGTCCGACCCGTATGACGCCAACGCGCCGTGGTACTCGCCCATCAATCTCTTGAGTAGGGACATTCTCGAGATCCTCGTGGCGGCGCTCTTGGAGCCCGATACCGAGGGCCGCTACCGCAATGTGTTCCGCCAGTACAACAAGGACTGGTTGCCAGATTTGGTGTTTGCCAACCCGGGCCTCGTGGAGCAGGCGTACATTGACGGCAAGTGGTTGCAATACCTTTTGTAGCCAATGCAAACTCACGGACTGTGGAGATAATAGAGAGCAATTAGTAAGTCTCTGGCAGCGTTTCGCTGAAGATCTACAAGTGTGCTTTCTTCAAGTGCTTGGTTGAGGTTCTCACGAGAGCTATTCTAAATGTCTTCTTGACTCATTTGTTTAGCCGAAACGCTTTATAGTGCTGGCTGGTGGAAGATATCTGATGAAATGGCTTTGTCGAAGTACCACGTCGGATTCTTGATTGAAGGAGTTTCATAGAAGCCTAGGGTGAAGTATTTCATTGAAGCGTTGAAATTGTGGTTGGAAAATAATTTTGGTGGCAGTACCGATCAAGCTGTTCGACAAATGCTTTGAGTATTTCACAGATGGCTTGATTTGGATAACTACTCCACTGACCCGCTCTAACCAGTACTTGTGACAGCGCTCGATTACATGCATGAAAACGCTTCAGTAAAAGCGTCAGGCCGAATTTGACAACGCTCGACTCAATGGGCAGTACACACTCGGCCATATCACATTATATTCTTTAAAATAGGTTACATGATAGAATACCTATAGCAACTCCCTTCAATTCCCTCTTTACCACTGATTCTGGCCTAGTCACGCGGATACATATCACGTGACCCACGCGCGCACCTGGTGGTCCCATCTTCAAATCGTCATTCATCTCGCCAGTCATACGCCACACTAAATCATTCAAATATGGCTAAGCTTCCCTTGTCGGTCCGTATCACGGATATGGTGCATAGAACAGCCGTGTTGTCCCTTTTCGGCATTGCTGTTGTGGGCACCGGTAGCATTTTTTTCAACATCTACGCCAACTCGGATTTCGCTCGCATGAACCAGAACAAGTTGCGTTTCAACAAGGAAGACTACGAGCAGGCACGTGCTTCAGAGGAAACCAAAGAGTAGGTTCTCGATTTATCGGCCGGGCCTAGATTGCGGACCCTACGAAGCATCCGCATGGGTATATTGTACATAGTCAATCTTCAAAAGAACCTCCATTTGTCTCTCTATGTAGATCGTTGCACTCAGATAAGGTGACCAGCTATAAGATGTTGTGCATTCAAACTCACCACCTTGCTGTGCAAGTATCGATGAGCTTTCCCGGGTCTGTATATTCTAGTTGTTGCAGCCGGCAAAGTCGTTTCGAGCTATCGCACAAGCGGCCACCCACCAATACTGAATGTGACGAAAAGAGATAGTCAGGGTTTCTCCTTTACTGATCTGACTGAGCTGTGTTGAATGAAATCAAGGTGCGTCGTGCGCCGTAGGCCTGGAACATTTGGTCAGCGGTGGAGACCCTTTCAGTGCCTGTTCAAAAGTTAGGGATCCAAAAGCTAGAAGACACTTCGCAATTATGCCACGAAGACTATCACCAGGTCTAATGCTTTGAATATCGTAAGCTGGGATGGATATGCCCATTTATCTATGAGCCTCACTCTGCTATTTGCCCGTACGATGTCATTCAAAAAGCAAGTCTGTGATCTTGTGCCCAAGCAAAACGGGGAGGATCTAGTCCATTGAGTAAATTGTTTGATATCGGCAGTCAGCGTCCGAAGTAGGTGAAGCATCAGTGTTGGAGATTCTGAGCCGTGAATGTCTCTATAATAGTCTTGTTATAATTGGTAGCAATAAGTCATAAGCCGTTTTTTGGGCTTACTCTTCTAAATTATAACCCGTGCCAGTCGTGGAATGGGTGTTCAAGACTACTGAAGTTGCAGCAATACCAAGTGTCTTCTTAGGTTTACTGCCGCGAAAAGATAATCAAGGCGGTGCACTTTGCTTGCATCTGAGGCCATAGACTGTCTTCTACTGTTTTCAACCATAGGTTGAATTTTGTTCTTTTGGAAAACTCCTGGACTGCGGACGGCCCGGACACTCGTTTTCATCTTAAGCTTCGGAGCAGCTGCAGCGAGATTGTTTAAGGGGAAGCACATGTCGTGAGGTCCAGTTCTCATGCATTTAAAGCTCATTAAGCGCATTCTGAGCTGGGAATTCAACTTTGATTTTCATGCAGCAGCAAATCCATCACCTGCTTCTTGTGTTTGAGGTGTCTCACGACTCAAAAGACATCAAAATCCTCTTCAAATAATGTGGCATTAGAAAGACATCGCCAGTTTTCGAGACAAGGCAGGCCTTTTCATGAATTCCATCGATGTTCACATCCACAAACTCCTTTATCCTGCGTACTCCGGAGCAACTACGGAACAACCTCCAGTATGTTCTATGGTTTCAGGACTTTACCCGGTATGGGTTTTTTTTTCTGCTTTGAGTGTATTTTTCGCTTCTTTTGCGGTTTCTTTGCATGCCCCACGTGAAGCTTTTCAGTAAGATACTTGAAATTTCTCGAGTTGAATTCTTCGTAAGCGGCGTCCGCCTGTGGATTTAAAATGACCACGTCGTAATTGAACGCAAATGACTCGCTGCAGTTCGGACACTTCTCGACAATTGCGGCATTGGGTTCATTTTCAGGCACTTTACGATAAGTCCTCAAGTCGCTTAGAAGTCTACTGGAGAACACGCAGCCGCAAGGCCGGAGGTACACAAATGTTGATTTCGGGGTTTTTGACGTCTTCGTGACTGGACAGGTGACCGTACCCAGCGGAGACCAAGTTACGTGCACATCTATGAAGTCGCCTAGCCCGTTGATGTGGTCGAGTCTGGGGGTTGCGGAAACGCCCAACGTTCCACTTCTTTTGCTTAGTAGAAACTCGAGGAGTTGCTCTTTCAGGTACAACTTCCCCTGGTAGTCTGAGACAATGGCACGGCCTTGGCCATGCTCGTACAAAGGTAGAGATGTAAGCGAACAGACCGACAAGAGCGAGTTCTGTAAGTTTTCGATGGGCTCGTGGGTCAATGCATCGTTTTTGGCATATACGGCGCGTAGGTCCTGTCCCCTGGCGATCGTGCCCCCGTCGTTCCCCATTGTGGTGAGCGAATCCAGCAGAAAAAACGATGGATATAGTATGTGGCTAATATGCGTATTCCGTTTGCTGGGATCCGGCAATGGCGCGAAACTAGGCCCTGGATGCACGGCGAGAATGGGGCCATGCGGCAAGCCATAGGCCAGATGGGAAGGGCAAACAATGCCTGGGGCCAACTATTGGGCCCACATTCTGGGAAGCCATCTCTTCAGTTCCGGAGAGACCCTAAAAAAAAAAAACAAGAAACACGACATGGAAGGCAAATAAGATACCTGGTGATTTCTCTCCAGGGACTAGGATTCATATGGGGCCCTGCCGCGGAACGGCGCGAAAACAGGGCCGGCCCGAAGTTTGCGAAGACAGTACCAACACAAACATTCAAGCGCCCCTTTAAAAACACCAATGATTTTTTCAGTCATTATATCTTGTTTCCAATATTAATAGCGTATGCTCCAACAATTTTCCCGCGTCTTTCCCCTCCCACTATTAATGACCAACTTGCAAGACTGAGATTCCCCAGGCCCCCAGTGCCCGCAGTATTCCAGGTGGGCCACCGCGAACCTGGCTCCAGATTTTCGGGCCTGGACGCTCAACTTCCAGCACCAGAAAAACGATCCACTTCGAACACACACTCAGACCCACAACCTCACAACCACACACCCGTCGACAATGAGCCAGCGCCGCATCGACCTATCGCAGCTTGAGCCCCAGCAGATCGTCGAGATCCGCAAATCCACCGAGGAGGAAATCCAACATTTCACCCAGTCGCTCAAGGCGCTTCAAACGGCACAGCTGAAATTGCAGGATTGCATTTCGACCATCGACAACATGGACAGCACCGACAACTCGGCATTGCTTGTGCCCATGACCAGCTCTCTTTATTTGCCGGGGAAAATCAAGGACAAGGGCACGTATTTGGTGGATATCGGCACGGGGTACTTCGCGGAGAAATCCTCCAGCGAGGCAAAGCTGGTGTACCAGAAGAAGCACACCAAGTTGGAGGGCGACTCGAGGAAGCTCAAGGAGATTCTCGTGCAGAAAAACGAGATCATGAACCAGATCAACATGGTATTGCGGAAGATCATGATGGAGCAGGACCAGGCCGCGGAGAAACAGTAGCAAGGACGTACATAGCATGGCAATCGACAGAACAGGATTAGGACGTTGGGCGGCAAATGCCTGGGGTGGCCTTTTTCCAGTAGAGGTGGACATCGCAGGTCTCTGGGGGTTCCCGAATAGCAAGATGCAAGTGCAGCATCTCATCAATCTTTGTGCCCGAAAACCCCCAACAATTAGGGTTTGGTGTAGGATTCGGGGCAGGGGACCCAAAAACAGGCTTTGGTGTAGGATTCGGGGCAGGGCCTCAAAAGCTGGCTTTGGCATAAGATTCGGAGCCAGTCACCCGTCGAAGCTAAAGTAGCGGACACACCACGATGAGAACACAGTCATTCGCAGAATGGCTTCAGACCCTTTGGTGAAAAAAATGGATCGTCGCATCATCCTCGTGTTGTCTGCCAGACGAGCTTTGAGCCGCCGCCGGTGTTGGCCCTGGTCCCTGGGATTCTGTCTTCGTTTACGAACCGGAGCGGAAGGAAACTTGACCAATTGAATCGTCATGTGCTCAGAGGGCCGTCTGTGGGCCTTCCCAGCGTGACGCGTTTTCGCCACATCTCAGACATAGCCATCAGACATAGCCATCCGACATAGCCATCAGACATAGCCAGCCAACTCTACGGAGAAACATCCCCCCGACATTGGCCACAAAGGGGCTTTTGTCCAGCATAGCAGTCCAGCGCAGAGTCTGGAAGGGCCACCCTTGCACGCTCATAACACAATTCGAGGGGGACGGCCGAAGCGTTATTCTTCGGGCCTTGAGGCGCACGTCATCACTCTCCAATGGTTTGTGCGTTCTCGCAGCAAGACAGTGCAATGGAAGGACACGAGAGCGACTGCAGAACACGCGTCTGTATGGCCTGTGGGACCACGGCAGGAGCCCTGGCCAGCAAGAAAGACCTGGAGGCATGCTGCAGACCCCACAACAGGGGCCCACTCAACGGCCGCAGCCAAACAGTCTAAAGCTGTATGGCCAGACGCGAGGGGGCGCAGAGCACGCGGGCAGGCCCGGCGACGGACGCACCACGTGCCAACACGCCCAGGCCGGAGGGCTCGTTCCAGGATTTCGGCGCACATTCACCCAGTTCCCGAGATCTCGTGAGGTGTGCGATCCCACGCCTGCGCCGGCTTCTCCCTGGCAAACCAAGGGTCCCGATCCAGCGTTTTCCCGTTCTTTTCGGCGCCGCTGGGGCAGATACATGTAATGTCAGGGTATGCTCTTGAGCTTTGTCGGCAGCCCCTTTGGTTCACGATCTGGCCCGGACCGGCCCGATCCGCGACGTGTCCCCATGCGCCAGCACAGATGGGCGTTTTCTTGGGCGCCGCTCCACCGTCCTCTGTATAGTAGGGTACGCTGCCCAAGCCCAGGTGGGCCGCGTTGGATTCATCACATTGGAAACGCGGACATGCTCGATTCGATCAAACCGATCAAGAAAGAGCCTAGCTTACCAGAAAGAACCCGTTTGAGAAAACGAGTCCGGCGCCAGCTGGGTGAAACACGCTGCACTCCCCGTCCCTGCTGGGCCTCGGCCCTGGCTCGCCGGGCAAGTTCCAGCTGAGCCTGGGCGCGGGCTGCGCGCTCAGCTCCAGTCCTTGTTGAACACAAACGGCCCGGCAAACGCCGCACTGAGGTTCGCCGCCTTGCGGCCGCCAAGGCCCGGGATGTCCAGCACCCCGTCGCCCAGAGCCGCCTGGAGCACGGTGTTTCTGAACGACTTGCAGTTCGCTAGCAAGTTCACCACGTCGGTCTTGTTGACCGCACGCACCGCGGTCAAGGTGGCCACCACGCTGGAGTTGTAGTCCGCCTTGCGCGAGCCCTGGATGGAGGAGGCGGTCTTGGTGCGGGCCATTTCGTTCAGCTTCAACGCCGCCACGTAGGCCCCCGCCTCCTCGAACAGCCACGCCACCACCATGGAGAGGTCGTTCTTGACACAAACCACCGCGAGCCTGCGGAGCGCCTCCTGCGGCGAGTCGATGTCCACGACCACCAACAAAACACGCAAGGCCTGGTCGTGTGCAGGGCTGCTGGAGGCGTGGCCGCCGCGGAGCCGCTCGAGCCGCCGCCACACGTACTCGGGCCGGAGCCTGTGGTACTTCAACGAGAGGAAGAGCACCTGCACCGTGGCGTTGATGTAGTAGTCCAGGAGAATCTGGGCATTGAAGGCCCAGGGCGTGAGTTTCATCGGCGGGCTTTCCAAGAGCGGGTTGCCTTTCTGCGACGGCGCCACCTGCACCTGCGTGTACGAGTGCACGTTTGTGGGGCCGGCTCTTCTGCTGGCGTGGAGGGGGGCGGCATGGGCGGCCGATTTGGGGGCCGATTGGGGCGCCGTTTTGGGCGCCGTTTTGGGCGCCGTTTTGGGCGCCGTGGCTGGGGGCTTTTGGCTGGGGGCCTGCGGCTTCTGGGCCGTGTCCTGGGCCGTGTCCTGGGCCGTGTTTTCGAGGCTTTGGGCCGTGTTTTCGGGACTTTGGGCCGGCTTCTCAAGACGCGGAGGCGGCCGCCCTAGGCCCGGGGCCTCGTCTGTGGGAGCGGGCTGGGGCGGCTCTGCTGGCGCCGCCACGCCCACGTCGTAGGCCCGGCGCATTTTCTGCACGCCCGCCAAAATGCTGGCAAACGAGGACTGGTCGATGGGCTCGCCCATGGTGTTTTGTGCTTGCAATGTGGCGGTTAGTAGGGCGCCTGGATTGGGGCCGCGGAAGTTGCGGGTGGCGCGGCGCCCGGCAGTGGGGCCAGGGCCTGGAAGTGGGCCAGGGCCAGAAAACGCGCCAGGGCCAGGGCCAGAAAAAAGGTCCCCGCTCTGCCCTTCAACAGAGAGCCATGGGCCTGGGCAGCCGCAGAGAAGGGCCATGCTTTTCACGGGGTTTCTGGGTGGACCGGTCTTGTGTGTTTTTGTTTGTTTGTTTGTTTGTTTTTTTGTTTGTGTTTTTGTTTGTTTGTTTGTTTGTTTGTTTTTTTGTTTGTTTGTTTGTTTGTTTGTTTGTTTGTTTGTTTGTTTGTTTGTTTGTTTGTTTGTTTGTTTGTTTGTTTTTTTTGATTGGCGTTGTCTGTTTTGGCGTGAACGGAACATGTATTGGACGTCTTTCTGGAGCGGTGCTGCGAGCCTCGCGCTCAGGCGAGAGCCGGCTTTGGCTCGCTTTGGATTCGGCCTGCTTTTCTTTGGCTTAATTTCTTTGGCCTGCTTTTCTTCGGCTTAGTTTTCTTTGTCCTTTTCTTTGACTTAATTTTCTTTGGCCTGCTTTTCTTTGGCTTAATTTTCTTT